AAAAAAAAAAAAAAAAAAAAAAATAGGTTGTCAATTATGTAAATTTCTCAAGTATTGTATTTCAAGTATTTCTCAAGTATCAGTGCCAATAAATATTTTCATGTTCATTTTTAAAAATATTATTTTAATATAAAGTACAATTTATTTATCAACAGTACTATTTTATGACAACTAATTTTTTGGTTTCCTTTTGTTACGAGGCTTAAGGAGAATTTCTAAAATTTAAGGCAACTAAACACATTTTGTGATCTTTTGATGTATTTTTGAGCAAAATCAATTCAATAGAAATGGAATAATCATGTTCAGTGATATATAAAAAAAAAACACGGAAGAGTAAAATTATTAGTTTAACAGCTACACATTAAAACTAAAAAATAATTAAAATGATTAATAAATAACTTTTTACTTTTATAAGAGTTGGTAAATTTGTATTTAAATTTTGTTTATTTATCTGTTCTTCTACATTTATCAATGATTTTGGACTTGATGGTGGAGTTGGTTCAGGTGTTTTTTCTCCTTCAGCTTTCATTAGTCTTTTTCCAGTTGTTGGACAAAGCGTTAATGGTCTATTTGGGCTACTAGGTGGAATAGTTATTTCTGAAATAATTTATAAAATTAGTAATGTTTTTAATTATCATGACAAACTTTTGATGACATATGTCATGATTACATTTTATACTACAATAGTTCATTTTCTGAATACACGGATTAAACCACTGCTGTTGTGACCATATTATTAAAAAATAATAATGTAAAATATTAATATTAAACTAATTATAATAATAATAATAATAATAATAATAATAATAATAATAGATTAATGATTGTTTTTATATTTCTATTGTTTTTTTTTAAATTTTGAATCAAGATCAAGTCATCAAAAATCTGTCAAAAACTTAAAAGAATTTTTTTTTTTTTTTGAGAAAATTAAGAACCTTCAGATGGGAAATGGTCTGACAGGCCACCGTCATCAGGGTCGGATGCCGTGTCTTCCCAAAATTCTAACTGCTCTGGGGTGTTATAAGCATAAGCACCTGGAAAATATTGGCCATGAACAGCAGCGATTAATTTCGCATTGTTTAGGAATATATTAACCGTTAAGTCTTTGAAGTTATTATAATTTTGTCTTTTTATACTAAACATTAATAAATAAATGTTTTATAACAGTAACTATAAAATAGTAAGTAAAAAGAAAATTCCACATTAAATTATATATATATAAATTTGAAAAACTGAATCAATTTTTTGAGTGTATAAATTAATCACAAATATGTACCTATAATTGTTTTAATAATATTTTATCCTATATTAAGTAGACTTGCATTTTCAAAACTCAATACTATTTTTTATAATAAAGAGTTAAAAACTATAACATAAAATTTTTGATACATCAGACAAATTTTTATCTTTTTGTAAAAGGAAATAAAATACCATATTTAGAACTGATAAATTATAAATAAATTATTTTATGATAATATTAAATTTAAAAAACAATTCTTTTAGTACAAATGGTAAAAAATATATATATCTCAATTTAACCAGAAATATATTCTAATTAAATTTGATATTAGTTACACTGGGTGATTGATTTTCATTGATCAAGTTGAAACATACATATCTAACTCATTCATATAATAGAAAATGATTGTTTGATAACAACTTTTCAACCAGTAGTTCAGGAATTATGACTGTTTTGATACTCGGGTGGGATGAGCATGGCAGAATAATGTGTCATGATAAAAATAACATACATCACATATCACCACCAATTTACAATTACAAATGTTTATAACTTTCAAAATACTGCTTTCTTAGTTGGTTGTCATCAATCAGTTGTTCTCTTTGTTGGATCATTTTCTATTATATGTATTGGTTTAATATGTATGATCCAATTAAAAATAATAAATTTGGTACCCTTTAGGAAGTAGGGATAGACCTAAAAATATTTATAATAACTAAAAAAAATAAAAAAATAAATACTTATAATTAAAATAAAAATAAGATTTTTCGATGTTATCATTTTAGGAGAAATTCGATAATGAACAATAAATCAATCACCCGTATATCATCCAATGGGAAATAATACTACATTAAAGAAATAATTAATTAATATATTATAAACTAAGGTTCGTCAGCAATATTTTTTTGAAAATCAATAGTTTAAAATTTTAGCAACATTTTATTATGATAACAAAGACGACATGTTAAATTATTTATTGATAAAGTTAAATTTTTTTTAATTATAATTAATTAAAAAAATTAAGTATAGGTGAGGAGACATTACTGGCAGAATAAAATTCTCAAATGTTTATGATTATGCAAACATAATTATATGTTCTCTTGAGATGGAACTCTGTTACCATATTTATTTTTTATTAAATAAAATTTATCAAAAAAAGCATGTTTGTACAATTGTTCGATTATACATAAATGGTAAGATTGAAATTTGGTTAAGATATAAACATGAAAAAAAATATCCTAGTATGTTTTAAACATAGGTAATAGTTATACTTTATTGTATATTTGACATAATAATTAAATGCAATTACGTAACTGAACATTTATTGGCTAATACAATCAAATAAATTTTACTTCCCATATGTTGTAATACTTAAATAAAAAGTTGATAGCATAAAAACTTCGAAAATATTAATGATATAAATATTATTAATGAACCTTTTTATGCAGATAAAAAAAGTTATATTATTGTATTCTATATAATAATTTCTTACCTTGTTGAACCCTATTATTTAGAGTTCTTCTAGGAACGAATGACAAATTGTTTTGGGATTTCAACCCAGGACTACTTTGACTTTGATGTTTCTAATAATTAAAAAAAAAAAAAATAATAATAATACTTATAAAGAATTCTACTTTTAAGAACATATTTAATTTTAATAAAAAAAACAAAAAATAAAACACTAAGAACATAATTAAGTATAATTTTTTAGTTTTACTGGTAATTTTTAATTAACAGAGAATTAAAAATAAATATTTTCTATATTCATACTATTCTAAAATATTTTCTATCATTTATAGAAACATTAATATATACAATTATAATGAATGTCATATTAAAAAAATAATTACCTGAAGTAATGATTTCTCAAATTCCGGATTAGCAGCAGCTACTTTATGTAAAAATGGCCGAGGCTTTACAGCAGCTTGGATTTTTGTAGCAGGAGTAAATGATCTAGAAAAAAAAAAAAGAGAATAAACATGTTGTAATAAAAATCTGTACAATTATAAATATATTAATTATTTAAATTTAAGCATGGACATACTTAAGCTTAACTTAGTTATAGAATTTGTACAATAGGGGATATATGAATAAAACCTTTTTGGTTGAAAGCAATCATAAAGTTATTCTTACTTAAGTTATAAAATTATAGTAAAATTAATTTAAAAGATTCCAAAATCTTTTATAAGATTTTTCATATAAAAAAATTATTTGGTCATTAAAAAAAAAATAATTAACTGGTTATATTATACATCATTAATAGCAGGAAAAGTATAAAATTGTAAGCATCTAAATAAAATTTAATAAAAGATAAGCTATGCTCATGTATTTCCCCATAATGTAGCTTAATCAAAACATTTAAGAAGGACCTATTTTTTTTTTTTTGCAAATTGCGTCATTTTATGACATAATAATTATTTTTATTATAATAATATTGTATAAAAAATTTATTCATTGAAAATAAAGGTCTTGACCGACCGTTTACAAGAAATCTAACAATTCAATTTAAGTAATTGGTACATTATTAAACAAAAAAATTAGTTTTTATTAATCAAATATTTTAATAAAATCTTTTAAGTATAAAAGTAATTAAAATAAATATTTTTTAAATATATGTGTTATATTGGTTATTAAACAAATTTTTTGGGCTATAAATTTTCTTGAAAGAAAAAATTTCATTTTTAAATTTTTTAATAGAACAAGGGACTAATTAAAAAAAAAAAATCATTCAAAATTTAAAATAAAACAAACTACTTTATATATTATAATTCAATTAATAATGGTAACATATAAATTAACAATTTAAATGTTTAATAAATATAGTTTAAAAAAACTAAAAAAACACGCTTTTAAAGTACATCGAACTAAAAAGTTAAAAATAATTTTTAAAATAATTATGAACAAAAAATACTATTATTGTGATAAAATCGTCGGGCGCTCAATATACGAAAATATGGCACAAAGCACCCACGCTTTTATCACAATAATAGTATTTTTTGTTCATAATTATTTTAAAAATTATTTTTAACTTTTTAGTTCGATGTACTTTAAAAGCGTGTTTTTTTAGTTTTTTTAAACTATATTTATTTTTCACTTTTTAGTTTCATGTTATTGTAGTAGTTACTATCAATATCATGGTTGTAACGGGTAACGGGAAATCAGGGTTCGATTCCGGGGAGGGAGTCTGAGAAACGGCTACCACATCCAAGGAAAGCAGCAGACGCGTAAATTACTCACTCCCGGAACGTGGAAGTAGTGACGAAAAATGACGATACGGAAATCATCTCTCGTAATCGGAATAAATACTTTATACCTCTTAATTAGAATAAAGCGTGTTAATATATAAATTTTAATAGTAATTAGAATACATATATATACAAGTAAAGCGACTTAAGTACGTAAACGTATCATGCATTAGGTACAGTCGTGTTTTGTGAGCGTGCAGGTCGGACTAACGTTATACCTGAGGTATAAACGGCGGTAGAAATATATACGTAAGCCGTATGTACGCGGATGATAATGGTCAGTCAAAATAAAAATTTGTTTATATATATATATAATATTGATGACAAGCACGCGTGTACGGGTACGATAACCAAAAATAAATTTATACAGGAATAGTATTGCCGGCGTATAATGAGCGAGGCGTAGGGTGGGATGAATGCGTTATGACAATCTAGTCTAGACCATGGAATATGCGATAACGCGTGGCGTTTTGAGAGTTACATACATACATACATACATACATACAGGTGAAACTAATATAAGCGTGTTAAAAAGATATACTTTTTTCTTATAAAAAATTCAAAATTTAAAATTGTGCCTTTATTTTAATAAATGATTAAGTTACTTAAAATTTGGTAGTAAATTATTTATAGGGTAATCATTGGACAATAGCTTTCCCCAAATTTATAATTAATAATTGAATTCATAGCAAAGTTAGGCTAATAAAAAGTTGAACTATGATAAAACTGTGAATATGGTAAAAATATACTATAATTAACTATTTCATAATAAAATGTGATTATTTTAAATAAGTAAATTTTTAAATCAAAGAAGTTAGAACTTAGTTTTGCATTAAAAAACCATCATTAATAATTATTATATATTTAAGTATAAATTAAGAATAATACTTTTTAAAATATTACAATTAAAATAGGTCTTTATAATATTATAAACCTATATTATATTTACTTTTTAGCATAAGATTTCATTAATGGAGATGATTGATGAACAGATTCCCTTGCTTTTGCCAAATCTAAAGTTCTTTTTGGAGGTTGAAGAGCCTGGGCTCCTTCAGTATAAACTACTTTACCTTTTTTAGGCTCATCTCTATGTTTCATCATCATCATCATGCTTTGAGTTTTATCACTATCATTTAAGCGAGTAAATCCATCAACGCCAGAAAATAAATAAATACCTGATTGGGGTACTTGATTAGTCTCCAATTTAACAAAACCTTTCATAGCTGCTAAAGTAACCTTTAATAAAAAAAATTAAGAAAATATTTAATTCTATTTCTGTTACAGTAACATCCTATATGTCATAACTGTTAAATAAAATAAAAGTTATTTATTACATAATTAATTTATTCCTTAAAATTACTTGAGTTAAATGAGGTGAAATTTGTAGAAGACCAACATCAGAATTTCGATGTATGTTATTAAATTGAGATAAATGTGTTTTAATATTTTTAACACGTTCTTCACGTTTCAAAACAGGAAATATTGATGGCCGTGTAATACTTCTAGATACATTATACTTTATACGTTCTTCCATAGTTAATTGACCTATCAAAATATAATTTATAGTATATTATAACTGTTAAATAAAACAAAAAAGTTATTTATTACATTATTAGTTTCTAACTACAATTTATAAGCAGCTATTTTTTAATAAAAATTAAAAGTATCTAACAAAAAAAAAAAATGATTTTTCTTGATTGTTAATAGGCATTATTATATAATTTCCAATCACAATACTAATTTTTAATTTTTATTTTGGTATAAAAAAAAAAATTATTTTTGTAAATACTGAAAAAAGACCCCAACTAAAAATAATATTATAACATTGTTTTTAACCATTTTCAATTTTTTTAAATTTTAATATGAATTTTTAATAATACTTTTCTTCTTCTTTTTCCTTGCCTTTATCTCAACTACTTGGGGTTGGCCACCTTTATTCTAAATTTCCATTTGACACAATCTCCCATATCAGCCTTTCTCATATCGCAATAACATTCCTCTATCTCTTTTTTGGTCTTCTTTCAAAAACCTTTTTTTCCTTCAAAATTCATTTCCATAATTGTTCTCACTGCTTCCAATTTCTCATCCTTATAATATGACTATCTAAGTCTATTTTCTTTCATCTTATCCACAATTGACGTTACACCTATACCACCTCTTATATGTCCATTGTTATCCTATCTTCTCTAGTCACTCTACTCATCAATCTAAGGACTCTTATCTCTGCTACACTCATTCTCTACTTTATTATTTTGTCAACTCCCAAACACTCATCATATCTGGTCTCACTACAGTTTTATAGAACTTACCTTTCAGCCTCATTGAAATTTTTTTATCGCATACATACCAGGCGCTTCTTTCCACTTCACCCACCTGCATTTAATCTTGTGTCTTACATTCTTGTCAATACCACCGTTTTTTTGCATAACTGATTTTAAATACTTAAAATTCTCCACCACTCCTATCACATCCTTGCTTAATGTCAATGATCTTAATTCACCTATTAATTCAATTCCTCGTGTTCTTCGTTGTCAAACTTATACTCTATATACTCTGTTTTACTCCTACTTATTTTTAATTCATTTCCTTCAAAAGCTGATCTCCACACCTCTAATCTTTGATTAATTTTCTCCTTCTGTTAATACTATATCGTCAGCAAACAACATGCACCACGGTACCTATTTTTCCTTCTATTTCTTTAGTAATTTCATCCATCACTATAAAAAATTAGTAAGGGCTTAAAACAGAACCTTGGTGCAGTTTTAATTTTAACCTAAAATCTGTTAATCCGCCTACAATTTTTATCCTGGTAAAAGTACCATCATATTGTGTTATATTAATGTACCATTTTGGTACTATTTTATCATTAGTGCCTATTTTAAAACTTTTTTTGGTACTTTATCATTTGCTTTCTCCAAATCTATAAATACCATACAAAGCTTTTTCTTTTTTTCACTATACTTTTCGATTAGTTGTCTCATACAAAATAATGGCTCCATTTTCGATTTACAGGCATAGATCCAAACTAGTTTTTAAATACCAATGTCTCATTTCTTATTCTCTTATCTATAACCTTTTCCCAATTCGTTATACTATGACTCATAAGATTTATGCCTTTATAATTTTCACACTCTTATATATCTCCTTTGCCTTCAATATGTAGGCAACATAACAGTATTACTCTATTCTTTTAACTTTTTTTCCTTCTAATAGTTTTTTATTAAAAGATCCTTCAACCACCTTATACCAACATCACCTAATATTTTCCATACTTCTACTAGCTCTTCATCTGGTTTTATTACTTTATTCATTTTCATTGATGCCACATTCTTCCATTCTTCTTTACTACCGATCAAATCTATCTGTCCCTCATTCCATTAGATATCCTGCAATGTCTCTCTTAAATACTCATAATTCAGTAATTTTTCAAAATATTCTTTCCACCTATTTCACATCATTAATGCTTGTTAACACCCAATTATCATCACTTTTTATACAATTTACATAGTGATAATGTTTAGACAGTTTTTCTCTTACTTTTGTAAGTCTATAGACTTTTTTTCACCTTTCTTCTTTTATCATACATCTCATCATACCTTTTAAACTTTGCCTTACTTACCGCACACTTTACATATCTAATATAAACATAACTATTGAAATATTAATAAATAACAATGTTTGTATAATTTTATAAACTAGGTAATTACTTACTTCTAGCTATTACTTTTCCTGTGTTTATACTACTTTCTTCACCTTCACTGACAGAAGCATTGGATTTATTGTGTAATGATGGATCATCCCATTCATCATCTTCAGATTCTTGATGGAAATATTTCTTCTTTAAAACAGGGGTATCTTCATCTTCTGCATCATCATCAAGCATTACATAATCTCGTTTTAATACATTTTGTTGGGTTTTATTATCTGTTGAGATTTCTTCACTAGCTTTCATGGTACCACACCAATATTTTACTTGATCCATAGCTTTTTGTTTACTACTACGAACAGGTCTCCTAAAAATAAAAAATAGTGATAATAATTATGGTAAGAAATAGACAAGTGTCTTGGTTTTGAAGAAATTTTCTGTTTTTTAAATTAGAAAAATTATAAATATTTACCCTCCTAATCCAATTTGATCAACTTGAATTTGAGGAGAAACTTTAGGCTTAACAATACCAATATTTTGAATCTGCTCAATTTTTCTAGGACGTCCAGGACCTGGTCTCTTTCCTGGGGTTAGTGGTGTTCCATTTTTTATTAATGAGTCTTCATATTGTTTTATAAGATGTGCACAAGCTGACATATTATCAGAAGGTTCCCAAGTATTTTGTTCTGGAGGGTAACCTTCCCATTTCAATAAATATTCAAACTGTCTTTTTTTTTGATTAAAACGACGAGCTACTACCCTTTCAACAACAAACTCTTGACCAGAAGGAAACTCTCCACTTGGCTTCATAATTATTGGTTGTGTTTCTTCAATTAAGCTTCCATTTGGTGAAATTGCATTTTGACCTAATTTAATAACCTACATAAATAAAATAACAAACTATTAAAAGTAGTCCAATATAAAAATAAAAACAAAAAATAATAAGTTAATTAAATATACATGATATTCAATAAGTTTGGAATCACTCAATTCAACTTAATATAAATTTTCAAAGCCGATAATAGTTTTTATATATTTTACTTGGAAATCAAAGAGAAAATGAATTGTATATATTTTTTATTAAAGCTAAAATATACCTTTGTTTAATAAGTTTAGAATTCTACCTAGATAAAAATTGGATGATTACAAACTTAAATTACATTTTATACATAATATATATATATAACTTTTATTACACTCACTTTGTTTGGAATATTTTTAGATAATTCAACATAGGTATTTATTGTTTTACCAGCTTGAATCCAACAATTTTTTACAGAATCAGGCAACATACTCCACATTTGATAAACTTGGTAAGCTTCTTGGTTTTCAGCTAAATATAAAATATGATTTATAATTTGTAAAACTAGTTAATAACAGTTATAATAGTAAATTTATATACCTATAAGTTTTGTTTGGGAGTTTTTCCACAGTAAAAATCCAAGGATTTGTGGTTTGTTATCCTTAAAAAAAAAAAAGTTATTATTATAATTAATTATATATACAGATACATTTATGTCCAATTGATTATATAGAATATTCAGTAAGTAAAGAAACAGGTCAATTGTTATAAACAATGGGAAAAGAAACCAGTTTCTTTACTCATTGAATACTCTATATAAATAGAAGTCTAATGTTAGCCATAGATTGGTATATAAAGAACTTTGAGGAATTTTAAGAATATTGTAAATATTTTTATATTTTAAGGAAATAAATATTAAAAATATTTCATTAACTAGCAAAACAATTAAGATTAATTAAGTATTTTCACTTATGCTCACAGTAAAAAATTATTATAATTGTATATATTTTATGTTAAATAAATTTTGCCAAAAATATAGCTATAAAATTTAAGAAAAAGAGTAATTATTTATATTGTGATTTAATAAGTGCACTATTATTATATGGTACTTTATGGATAAAAAAATAATAATAAATGAACAATTGAGACAGTCAGGTACATTAAAAATGACATATAGTATAAAATTAAATTAATTAATTACATTATAAAAAATAATAAGTAAAAATCAAAGATTTATTATTTATTAATAATAAAATTGACTAGTATAATCACAAGCATTAAGAATGTTGTTCTATGATGAAACAATATACATTATTAACAGTAGCGGTCAAATTATTTGCTGAGAGAGGGGATAAAAAATCTTTATGATAAATATCATCATGGAAACTGTATCCCCATACACCAAATCATATTTTTTTTTATTTTTATATTAAAATGTTATTATGAACTATTAGATATGTGTCAATGCTTTTTTTCTTATTAAACCTATTTCAAATATTTAATTTATTTTAGAATAGTACCTCATTGAATTTACTAACGTATAAATAATGACCAACTTAAAATTTAATCTCCTAATGTTTAATTAATGTTTTAGGAATAACTATTTTTTTAATATTAACTCTACTCAGTAACTTTTAAATTGAATTGTCATATAGAAAGTTGCCAAAATATAAAACATACATTATGAAAATTAAATAAAAATGTCAAAAAGGATATATCAATGGGAAGGGATTTATTCCCTTACTCTCTATATGACCACTAATGGTTATTAAAAGTATAAAAAATCATACTATTTCTTGATAGTTAATAAATATTTAATATAGTTACTGAAGTGTTTTGGTCACGAAAAGCTGAAACTTTTTTACATGTTCCTCCATTTTTATGTTCTTGGAATTCTTCAACAAAATGAAATCCAACATGACATAAACCACATACTAAGACATCCACATTTGACAATTCTTCTTTAGTGGCTATTAAAAAAAAATATAAGTAATATTGATATATGCCTCATAAAAATTAGCATTAATATATTTCAAAGATATTACCCGCCCCATCTGTTTCTGATTCTTCTATTTTTGTCACTATTGGTTCATCTACCTCTTGACTCATTATAAAAGATCACGTAATTAGTTTTTACATAGAAACAGAAAATCTAACAAAATAATAAAAGTAACTTAATGTCAATTTTCAATGATCAAATTTTAAAGGCATTTAAAAAAATTATGAAACATTTAAAAAAATTCCAAACAGTTATTGTTAAAACACTTGGACCATGTCTTTAGTCAATAGTATAAAATTTTATCTAAAACATAATTTTGAGTGATAACAGTACCAAAGTATTTACATAAAAATTTAATAAAAAAATAAAATTAAAGAAGTAAACAAGGAACTATACATAATTGTGATACCGCGATAACTTAAATCATTTAGATTTAATAAGTGTTTATTATGTACACAATAAGTCATTTTCACGAAGCACAGACTTACTACAAATAGATAAAAGTTAGATACAGGAAAAAAATATCCCACTAAAAGTTAGAATTAATAATAATATATATACTTTTTTTGATGTTTTAAAATTTAACTAAATTAATGGCGCCATATTTAAAACAAAAATATACAAACCTAAATTTTAACAAAGACTACAGTTGATACATTTTAAAATACGCGCAAATTTCTGTTATCATTAAGTTCAGAAGTTCAAAAAAGAGACAATTGCCAACAATTTTATAACCTAAATTAGTTGAAAATTAAAAGAAACACCATAGAAAATTGAAGAAATGCGCGCACTCACACGCACGCACACGCACACACACACCAACGCGTCCTTTTTTGCTTAGCAGCTTAACTATCGTAAGACTGTACGCTCTGTTTAAGTTGGTGCCTACTTACTTATAAAAAATGAATAAAAAAAATTATGAAAAAAAATTATTGATTGTCTTAGTTGACCAGAATAATTGCTAAATTTTCACTTACTTATCTTGTGGAGACTCAATTTTGGTAGATAAATATTATTAAAAAATTGTTTAATACAAAACCGACGTCAAAATGGAGGACAAGGGCGGTTGCGGTCGTTGTACATAGGTAGCGCCTGAATGCTGAATGCCATTTACAAGTTTACACAATTTCATTGGATAAAAATGGTCACGTGGTTGCTGCATCGATTCATTCCCACCTATTTTATAAATGACTACAATTGCCGGACAGCGGCATTTGGCCGTTGCATTAACAGTTTGGTTTGTTTTGCTAACATTGCTTAGTGTATGCACATATTACATTATAACTGTAGACAGGCATATCTTTATGCATTTTATATATAAATGAAAATATTGCATATTAAATTCCTTATAAAATAATTGTTTTTTATTTGTAATCAAATTATTTTATGAAGTAACGGGGTGACATTTAGTCGTGTATCTTAAATTTAGAGTTAAAAAAAATTAATAGAGATTTCTCTTACAAATTAAGAAAATTAAAACAAATGTTTTTGTTTATAATTATAAATAATGATGTACAATTATAAAGAATAGTATTGAAGTGGCCTAGTAATTTCTATTATTTCATATACAGGCTATCAATAATAATATTTTGAATTTAAAAATGTTACTGAATTTCGATATATTTTAATTCAGTGATAATTGCTGATAGAATATATAATATAGTCATTTTCAGTTTGTTTACTTTAATTTGTGTATAAAATCCCAAACATTTTTAAAATCCATTGTTTTTACTTGATGAACAATTTTTTAGAAAAATAACGTTTTTTTGTTATTACATAATGGTTATAATTATTGTAAATTTTGAAGGATTTTTAATTTAACTATGATAAAGATAAAATTTGTAGTCTAAAATGTTATTGAAAACATATTTTTGAAAGATCTGAAAAATTCAAACCATGTAGATGTAAAGGTACCTACATTTTCAAATTACTTTTAATTAAAATAGGAAATTTTGTATTATGTGAAGTAGGCTATAGCTCTAAAAACATCCTTGCTGTACTCAATTTATAAAAATAATAAAGAAATACTATTTTAAGATTTAAATATTTTGAATCAATAAATTTTTTTGGGTGAATTATATTTTTAAAACATTTTTCGTAAATATCAGTTTTATATCACTATCGACCTCCCTAATATACGACGCTGTCAGAGACACAGTTGCATCAATCTTTCAATATTTTTGACAATTAACCCAGATAAAAGTTAATTATTTGATATAGTATTTTTATTTTGACAAGAAAAAAATAAATTTTGTAAGAAAATTCTTATTATTATTATTTGTTTATTTTTTAAATAATTCATATTAAGGTGCATAAATCTATCATGATTAACAGTGCCGGCGCAAAGTTTTTCGAGGCCCGGGGCAAGTTAGCCCCGGTAGTTATCTCTATTTCTGGGTTGAAATTTTTAAATTTTTTTGCTTAACCGACAAAAAAGTAGATAGGCTAAAGACAAATTAAACCAAGCCACCCGGGGGCCTCAACGACCGCGGGACCCGGGGCAGGTGCCCCGACACTGATGATTAATACTAAAAAAATTTTCTTTCTTCTCATCATAAGATCAATAAAATCAAAATATTATGTTTACTACAATGAATACAATATATTTATTATTCATGTTATACAGGGCCATGTTAAGGGGTTGGGGTTGTTCGACCAGTAGTATAGGGGCCACTCTTAGTAGAGTCATGTTTACGTTTTTATGACATTTTATTTTAGTTATTATTTAAAAATATTTTTTTTGTGCCTGTTTTAATGATCAAAAAATGTATATGAAAAAAAACCTTGTCATAACATGAATGAAAAAAAAATTGTGGCTTCTTCGATATTTATCTGTACTAAATACAATTGAAATTATGTACATGAATATTCAATAAAAAATTAGAAATCAATTAATTCTAAAATAAAACAGCAGTGACCATAGTCAGGATTATTACTTGGGTAACTTTTGCTGAGGATTTCTTTTTTTTTTTTTTGCTTTTTACATAATTATAAGAGTGGCTTAGTCAGTCATACACAGTATAATTATAGTCCTTCTAAATTACATTATTGCGTACAATGGCAAACTACAACAATAAATTAGTAAAATAAAACAGGAAATAATTCTGTTTCATAATTATTATAAATACTAGTATTCTAGACTATTAGAGGTACAAAAATAATACAACATTCATTAAATAAAAAATTAGTTTGGAAATTGGTAATATTTAAGTTTTTCAACTTTACTAGTCACAATAAACCACTAAATTTTTTTTATTAAAAATCTTTGAACAATATTATTATTATCTATATTTTCATTGACAAAAAAAATAATAACCTAGAAGATATTGCATTTATAGAAACTCCTATAAAATTAAAATAGCAGCAATTAGTTTAGACATAGAAAAATATTAACCATATAATAAAATTTTTATATTAATGTATATGTATATATATATATTATATTATTATACAATAAGTATTTTGATACACGTAAAAAATATGTATGCTTTTAATTTCACATACTTACAAATGTGATCCACTTTATATTTTTTTAATTTTAATAGCATCATTTATTTTAGTTATAATATTAAATAAATTATTAACTATGTAAAAAAATCTACAGGATTTACATTTTTTTTTTAAAGATAAATTTAGGAATTCATATTGAAATTGTAACTTATCACTAGTTCATAATTATTTTGCTTCAGATTATTTTAAATTTTCAGCAAGTCTTTCTACTCGTGCATTTAATGATTGTATATTGGAATTTATTTTTTCCATATTTTCATTAATATGAACTTCAATCATTTTTAAAAATTCATCATTTTTTTCTATGTTTTGGTTGTTTTCTGTATGTTGAGCATCAAGATTATTTATAGTTACAGCTAATTTGGCAACTAAAAAAAAAAAAATATATATATATACAAAAGTGGAACAGTTTTAGTTGACAACTTTTATAACTTTTAATATAATTAAAATATTCCTGTAATTTTTTTTTAAACAACTGCATTTTTAGATTATGTCAAAAGTATATTTTTTGTTATTTATTTTTAATAATGAAAAAATAATTTTATTCAAATTTTTTTAGAGCTTTTCTTACAAAAAATCTTGATGGGTAGATAACAAAATTATGTTAAAAACTTGAGTGAGTTACAAGTTTTTTAATACATAGAGTGGATATATACTGCGGGTGAGTACATTTCATACTGATGTATATTTATAACACATACTACTCATAAATAAGAAAAAATATGCTTTTTATGTAGTCTAAGAAAAGACAAAAAAGTTTAAGAGAAATTTAATTACATTAAAATTTCTAAAAGTTGTCAGTTAAATCTGTTCCACATTGTATATTATAAATAAAGAATTGTTAATTTTATAAATAAAATTTTTATTGGTGTTTTTTCTTTTTGCATTAGTTAAATATTATTAATCTTAAACACATATTTGTGTAGCTTAATACTAAATAATGTATTTTAAATTGAGGTACAGTGATTGGTGTTTTCTCTACAGTATTAGTACCAGAGTAGAATGGAGACTATACTACTGCTCCTTCTCATATAAAGTGGCATAACAAGACTTTGTCCATAAGAAAAGTTTTTTCTATCTCTCTTCACCATTTCATTATTTTTATCTTTGGGATGGGTATTTGATATCCATATACTCAATATTTTCAGTTTTGTCCCTTTTGCTAAAAGTCTCAGTCTTAAGAAATAAAAGCTTTACAATTTAGAAAAAATTTTAATTTATAATATACCCTCTCCTTAATAAAAAAACCATAGAAAATTATAATACCTTTTTGATGAAGTGACTCTAATGCAACCATTCTCTGCAAAACATCCGGTAGCAAATGAGATTCTTGTTTGGCTTTTAAAATAATTTCATAAAGTTCGTTTATTTTTTTGTCCTTTTCTTGATCTTGACTGTCAAGTTTTGCTGCAGATTGTTCAAGTTTAGGAAGTAAATTGGAGACTCTTGTATCAACGGCATCTAGTTGTGATGAATTTAAAATAGATAGCTGACCTAGTAATAACTGCACACTTTCAATTAAACCACCACTTTCACTTAAACCACCTAAACGTTTCTGTTAACACACAAAATAACTATAAAATTTTTTTATTTAGTCACGGTTTCCATTGATTAATTTTAAAAGCGATAATATACTATGGAAATTTTTAGTTTAGATAAAAATTTTTTCTTTTTCCCTTGATTTTATATAGGCTTATAACAAAGAGCAAGTACTCTTTCTTTGAGCCATTCAGTAATCATATACAATCCCTGACTTTTGATTCTCTTAAATGATTTATAAAAATTAATTTTCAAGATATCCTCCAAAAAATAATAACATAGAATGAAAATGAAATTCATGCCATAAAGAATTTATTTATAATCCAAAATTATTGCTAATTTTACAGTTTAAGTACATAAAGTATATGTTTAAACATGATTAAATAAGTACCAATGCCAGACTACCAGATCCTATAGTAGTTTCTAATTTCCTTAAACGTTCTTCCAGTCTAGAAATTTGAGACACTTGTTCAAGTTGGGCTTTATTTGGTCTAATTAATGCCTGAAAATTTATGGTTTGTGAAGGTTTATTATCTTGTGTAACTTTATCATTACTTTTATCAGATTGTTTTTTCAATAATTCAGTAACTGTAGCAATATATTTTCTAAATAAAAAATACCATACTTATTATTAGTATTTATGAATTAACCATGTAACAATTACTAAAAAACAAAATTCTTACTGTAAATTATCTATTTCGGAAGCACCTAAATGACCAAGTTGTTGTTCAAAAGATTTTTCTACATTTAGTGTTGAAAGTTTTGATAAGAGTGTTTGAACTTGAGATCCAATATTAGCACATAGCATTTCATTTGGATCATTTTTATTTTCCTTTTAAATAAATTATAATAATTAAAATATGTTATCATTGAGTAACAAAACATAGGTTGGTATCCATAAAAAATTCTTAAAGTCTTACCTTTCTCTATTGAAATTTAGATAAAAAATATGGTGGGTAAAATAACGAGAAGAAGCATAAGATTTTTTGTATATTTATACATATAAATAAATTTACTTAAGATCCTTTTAAAATTAAATTCAAGACAAGTGCCTAAGCACTATTGCTTTTATTATAATAAAAAAATTAAACATTTTTAGTTGTTGTATAACATTATATAATAATAAATAATATATATTACTTTTAATGAATTTATTTCTTGAATTAACTCTTCAGTTTCTAATTTAATACGATGATACTTTTCTAAAGGTGTTTCTTTATCTCTATGAGCAGCTAATTCCCAAAGTTCATCTCTGTAATTACACAAGCAATAAATTTTAATACAAAAATAATTGATGAAACTTCAATTTTTGGGTTTTCATGAAAAAATTATAAATTATTCTGTGGTTAATGGTAACCCTCATTAATGAATGGAACAAAATCAATTTTCATTTTATAAATGTCGGACCAACCTATATAGACTTTTATATTTAATTATTAATTAAATGTAATAACCAATAGAGGGGGTCCAAAAGTATTTGTTGAAATTTTTATATAAAAATTATATATATTTTATACACAATATATATTATAATTATTATAATTTTAAAGAAATATTTACCTCCCCTCCCATATGTTAACTTCTTTAATTAATGTTAGTCTTTATTATTAAAAAAAAGGAAAATTGTTTAAATATATAAATACATTAAAAATATAATAACTAACATTTTAAATAGTTAAAATTCAGTCTATAGAAAAAATTAATCATTATAAAAACATTTGGGTAAGTTTTTATTAGTAAAAATATGTTTAAATATGGTTTCAAATATATAAATTTTAAATAAAAAATAAATGGATGAGTTAAAATTATATGAATACAAATTAAAGTCACGGTAAAATAGTTTGATTGAGGAATGATTTTTATAAAGCTTTTAAGTTTTTAAATTATTAATTGTTAATTAATTGTTTAAAATATTTGAGAATACTAATCCAATAATAAAGTTTTTCATTAAATTAATTTCTTTTATTAATAATAAATTTAGGTACACAATAGCCTACCAGAATATTGGAAAAATTCTGGCAAAACTCCAAAAGCCCATCAAATTTAACAAAAAAAAGCTTATAAGTGTTTTTCATCACTAAAACTAGTTCTATAATATCTATTATGTATATAAACAAAAAAGTTTTAAAAAAATTCAACTTTTAGAGGTAAAGTATGATAAATGTAAATGAATGGGTGATTGTAAATTTATGATTCCTCTTATAATATTCAGTAGATATTATTTTATAAAAGACAATTCCAATCTAATCCAATCTAAGTATATAGTTATTTTTAACTATAAAGTAGTATAAATAAAAAATAAATAATTATGTATCTTCTTTAAAAAATGTATTTATAATAACCTAACTTGACTTTATTCTTACTTTGGTTTGTAGCCAGTTTTTAACGTTCTTCCGAGTTTATCAGAAAAATCAACATCATCTGAATTGACTACTTGATCCTTAAAACGTTTATAAGCTTCAGAAGTATCTATCTGCACACGATCAATATCTTCATTATCCTGTTAATAAAAAGACATTAGTCAAAATTGTTTTGACTCTCATAATATTCAGAACTTCAACTTTGAAACATGGTATAACATATTACTACTAAATTAATTTTGTTATACTACAATTTAAAACATCAATGTAATATTATATTAAAATAAATTATGTTCCTAGACCCATGGGTTTACAAAATGATTAGAATTGAAAACTACAAAAACATATCAGTTCATAAACTTTTGTAAACAGCCCATATTTCATGAAGCATATTAAGGATTTGTAAGGCATATAATTCTCAAAACTCATACTTTAAGTCTAGTTTGAAAATATTATGTAATACAACATGATAATTCTCTATAGATTCTAAAAAATGGTAGTTTTTTTTATTAAGTACTAATTATACCTGGTAAAATTTATAAATTCAGACTATTTGTTGCCTCAATAAATACAGACATAGTTGTTTATATCTACAGTACTTAGTCTCCTTTATTTATTATGTACATTTAATAAGATGTTGTTAATTCAATTTTTGAATAATAATAATGTAAAGTTTAAATATAAAAACAGAGTGTTCCATTTATCATAACTCTTTATTTAAGATAAATTGTTAGGATTATAAAAAAAAAAAAAATTTAGTTGTGTATATTCTTTAATTTACAGCTATTAAGTACATTTTCAGTTATTTTCTTAATTAGATTATTATCCAGTAAATAAGCTAGTTAAATATGTATGTTTCTATTTAAAAAAACTAAGTTGCTACCCTTATAAAACATAAAGAATGAACATGAATAATAAATCAACAAAATATATACAACTAAAAAAAGCCAAAAAAAAATATTCCCAAAATTATTTTTATTTTATAAATAATTGAATGGGTTATCATAATCAGAGTGACCCGTCTAAACAGAGTGGAACAGATTTAACTGATAATCCTTATAACTTTTGATACAATTAAAATTTCACTACAATTAAAAAATAATAATCTATATAGTTTTAGATTACTTTAAAATCATATTTTTTATTGTTTGTTTTTAATAATAAGAACATTTTTTATTTTATTTTAAAATTTTGGAAAATTAAAAAAATTACAATAAATTAAACATAATTTAAATAAAAATTTTAATTTAAGTTTAAATATGTTGTATTATTTCACTTAATTGTTTTTCAAATAACTAAATTACATACTACTATACTATAGACTAGTTATAAACATTAAGTATCTATGTTACCATATCTTTTACTCATAATTTAATTACAAAAAAGCTTTTGGTAATTATTATCTATTACTAATATACTTATTTATTTAAGAAGAAAATACTATAAGTTTACTTTTAGTTTTTATGAGATATGATAAAAAGTGTACAAGTTTTATTCGTAATTAAAAAATATTTCTTTCTTTTTATGAAATTGTAATGTACGCCAGACAAGAATTAATAAAACAATAAACAACATTAATAAATACACAAAAATATATTGTATATTTTAATTAAAAATATAATAGAAAAATATTAATTATTACCTCTTCCATGTAATCAAGTTGTTGATCATCTTCAGGCAGGTCAGAAGTTTCATAGACATCTGGTTGGTTATAAGCCTTATTGGTTATAAGAGTAAAATTTTGATAAAAAATTATTAAAATTAACGATGTACTTTAAATAAATGTATAAATAATATAAATTATATTATATTATTTAATTGTGAATGCTAAAATAATAATTTTAATACTTACGATTCCACTTAAATGAGCATACTTAGGGTCAACAGTCATATTTGTAAATGTGAAAATTATAGAATTTAATTTTTAAGACAATTTACAGATGACTTATGATAAAAAAAAGTTATGAAAAGCAACTGGATTACTTTCAATTTTCAATTAATCTTAACATTAAAAATGATCAAAATTTATAAGTGATAACAATAAATAAAAGGTTTAAGTGTTTGTCTCACTATAGTACAGAGAACACAGTGCCATCTAGTAATAAGTTGTTTGTCGTGTGTAAACATTAAGCTGTTATATGTAAATCTGTCTACTGTAAGTTACATTATATTTATGATAATAATATTAATATTGAAGTTTAGCTTTACTGTTACGCTTGAGCATTTGCAAATGGCTAATTTATTTAAATGATAAATTTTAAGTGAACAAGGTCCAATGAGTAACAATTATAATTGTTTTATGAATAAAGTACATGTAAGAAATTTATGCTATAGAAGTAAATGTTCAAATTTAATTTATTGAAATATTTTTATGTTATCATTTAGAATAAATTTTTTATTTTCTAACAAAAACTGAATTTAAAATAAACAGTTTTAAAAAATGAGTGGTGGACGTCAGCGATCATCTTTTAATGTTCATTCAAATCAACCTAGTGCAGATTCAGGAATTCACGGTCAAGCTTATTTGCTTGAAACATTAACTAACTGTACTGATCCTTTAAAGGCTATAGAGGAATTTCAAGTTGATAATGGTATTCATTTACCTTCACTTCGACAAATGTTGCCTCTTCTTGACCTTCATGGGATTCGCCGTTTAGATTTCCATAACTCCATACTGGAAGCATTACGTGACAAATTAGTTGCACATATTGAAGAAATTGGAAAAAAAGAGGGACGTGATAGAGACCGTAAACTTAAAGATATGTTAGCTAAAAGTTTCCCATCTGTTCATATTAAGCAACTTAGACCAATTATTATGGCAATTTTAAAAAATATCTCTCATATTGATGATAAGTATTTAAATGTGTTAGTTAAAGATACTGAATTATATAAAGATACAGATACTGAGGTAAAACGACAAATTTGGAAAGATAATCAATCATTGCTGGTTAATGAAGTTTCTCCATTACTAACTCAATATATTAGAGAAAAAGAAAATATTTTATTTGATCACAATAATTTGACTAATTTATTTTTTACTCCATCTCCTAAATTGAGAAGGCAAGGAGAAGTGGTCCAAAAATTAGCACATATGATTGGTTCTAGTATTAAATTATACGATATGGTTTTACAATTTCTAAGGACATTATTTTTGCGTACTCATAATGTACATTACTGTACACTTAGGGCTGAACTTTTGATGGCCTTGCATGATTTAGAAATTCAAGATATTATTTCTATTGACCCATGTCACAAATTTACCTGGTGTTTAGATGCTTGCATTAGGGAACGTAATGTTGATGTAAAAAGATCACGAGAACTTCAAGGATTTTTAGATAGTATCAAACGCGGTCACGAAACTGTTCTAGGTGATTTATCTATGACATTATGTGATCCTTATGCTATTAACTTTTTAGCAACTTCAACAATTAGGATTCTTCATCATTTAATAAATAATGAGAATTTACCTCGAGAAAATCATGTACTTGTGTTACTTTTAAGAATGTTATCATTAGGGCTAAGTGCTTGGGTTATGATTGATACTCAAGACTTTAAAGAACCTAAACTAGATAGTCAAGTTGTTACAAAATTTATGCCTGCATTAATGTCATTGATGGTAGATGATCAGGTTCGATCACTGAATACAAAAATGCCTCTTGATGAAAGAGAATCTGCAATTACAATTATTGAACACTCTGGGCCTGTACCAGATGCTGTGCAAGCATATATTCAAGAAAGTAGTGTTGCTTGTACTGTTGCTATGTACTATACCTTACATGTTGCTAAAGCCAAAGATAGATTAGCATTAATGAGAATTTTAGGGTCTTTGGCTAGCTGTGATCATGATCGCGCATTTGAAGACCCATTCCTTCATTTTCTTGTTGCTCTATTAATTCAGCAAGTAGATGAGTTTGCAGCAGAAGACTTTTGTACTGTAATATTTGATGAATTTTTTTGTACTGGCCTTAATAGAGAAAATGTAGTAAGACACGTCTTAAAACTAGTTTGGCATGTTTATCCTAAACTACCACCTAGTAGATTAAATACATTGACTAAAGTATTACAACCAAGTTCTTCTCATGATGAAGCTGTACATAAATTATACAATGATTTTGTTGAAAAAATTACAAGTGATACTGAACCACCTCCTGAGCCTCCTAGTTTTGACTATTTAGAGTCGCCATTAATGAGCGTGCCAACACCATCACATTATTAATTTTATAAACATAATTCAATTTGTAAATATTATATAGTTTTGTACACTTTTATTTCATAAACCATCTCCCAAAAAATAAAGGAAACATAAAATTATAATAGAGAATTTTTTTTTAAATGTAAAAATAATGTTACAAATTACAAAAACAAAATATTACAGTTTGGAAACTAAACTATTTCCAAAGTAGTTTCATTATTTTTTGTAATTAATTGAACAAGTGAACCATTTTGAGGCCTTTCTTCGAATTTTACCCATTTTATAAACAATCTGAAAAACAAAACATTATTTATTTATTTTTGTTTTATACTAAATTAAAAGTAGTAATATTTTTAATAAAATTGTTTTTTAGGTCAAGAATACAGTACCACCTGTTTAGTAGTTATCGTTAAAAAGTTTTATTAATTCAACTATTTACATTAATATATTTTTATTTCTTTTTATAATGTTGATGATTTTTCCTGTAAGAATTTTATTATTGATGAAGTATTTTTATAATAAACCTGAGTTCAACATTGAATAAAAGAACATTTGCTACCATTTATAAACATATAGAACATGAGATATTCAATATTCATGAACCTAAATATATATTTAATAACATTAAAAATAAATAAAAATCTATTGGCTATACTTACATGAACTAACTTAAATTAAAATATTTTTTCTAAATTACACTATACTACACAGTTTTAATTTAAGTTCAATAAAACATGAATAACTATTTATATTACTAAAAATTTATGAATATTAAAGCGTAATTGGTGAAAATAAGGCAAGTGCCGCCTTAAGTTTCTTTATCAGAGTAAAGGAAAATTCTTTTATGAAATTGTAAAAGTTTAAAGTACTATTTACTTAGCCACATAATCCAAAGGAGTCCATGCTGAAGTGTCAGCCTCAGGCATCCACTTTCGATTCATTGGAGTATCAAGGGTAATTGGCAAAATGGAATATACTTGTGCTCCATTAGGTAATCCACCATTTGGATCAGCTAATGATTTGGTAAGTTGATGAATTGCAGCTTTAGATAATCCATAACCAATCATTCCAGGAGTTGGATTTAATGCAGCTTTTGCACCAGTTAGAACTACAATTCCTCCTGGTTTTAAATACTTTGATGCAATTGAAGATGCCAATACTGAACTCCACACACTTTGTTTTAACATAAGATCAGTATTTTTTACAAAATCTATGTATAAAGATGAATTTACACTTCAATTTTTTGAAAATTACCTTAAAAAAAATTCTACAGTTTAAAATGTGATATAAAATTCTTACCATTTGAATTGGAATTGCCACCAGCCCATCCTCCAGCTACACAAATTACAGCATCTAATTTATCAGATCCTAAAACTGTTTCAAGTTTTGTAATAATTTCGAGTTCCTTTAACATAAGAAACCATTGGGTGAGAAAATTAAGTTCATTAGATTTAAACAAAATGTGTTAAAAATGTTTATTTACTTGTTCAAGTAAAGATGCATTACAGTTTACTATAATATTAGCACTGGCTACATCATTCTGTTGCAAATCTATAGATCCAACCCACTATTATTAAAAAAATAAGGTATTCGTTATTTATATAAAAAATAATTTAACAAGTAAAAAGATATACAAAAGTTATAAAAGGGTACAATTAATAACATTGTGACAAAGTAATTTATAAAAGAACTATTGTAGAGTAACATATACTATAATATAGAGTAAAGCTATAAAGTAACTATTAAGTTATTTAACAGCTATAAAAACTGTTAAATACATATACTCCAAGTACTTAATTATTTTAACAAATATTAAATATTTTTTTTAATTTGGCATTTTATACTATAATGTACTAAATACTTCTAAACTTCCTACTTTTATTAATTAAAATGTATAAAAAAAAATGTTAACTAAAATTTTTTATCATAAAATGGTTTTAACTTCTTGTGTAGTTAAAAAATGGATTTTTATCTAAGTTTTCCTATAACTAGATTTTTTAATATTTTAAATACATCTAAGATATTTTTAAAACGAATATTACTTACAAATTTTTGGGCTAAAAATGATGCAATGCATGTTGATCCTAAAGCTCCTTTACCTCCATAAACAAGTATTTTACCAGCACTCATCGTAGTAAATATTTTATTTGTTAAATATGTTTATACTTGATAGTAGATTAACTAAAGTGCAACAAAAATCAATAATTTTCTAATAGTAGAGTATTAATTATTTCGTAATATTAATGTAACGAGAAAGTGAGAACGAGTATCAAGATACTATTGGTGAATGTTAATATTACAACAGACCATGGACATGGGGCGTAACTTGCCAAGTAGGATTATTATACTTAAACCACACCTCAATCTTAAAAAAGGTATTTTAATAAATTTAGGCTTTATTTCATGTTAGCACACTAATTAATCTGAATCACTTGGTAAGTGAGAAGCACATTAATTCCTCTAATTATAATTATAGTACTATATTCATTAGAAACTTCTGTTCAAATGTTTTTGCTTATTTATTTCTATTAATTTTATTTTGTATTTAAATAAGAAATTTAAGAATGCCAATATTCAATTCTACTATTCGGGAATATGAATAATTTTATTATAATTTTTATGATAACACTTTTATTTTTTAAGTGTCACACAATAAACGGTTCTCATATGACTCATTGAATATTATTAATATTTATTATGTATGTGTCACAATATCCATTATCATTTAAAAAGGTAATTGAAAGTAAAACCCGTTTTCTTAAAATCATTATTAAATGCACTCCGAATAGCTTTATTTTGATCGAGCTTTGTGATGATACGAATAGTTTATTTTATCAACTCTAGTTATTTTTTCATTTGTTAAAGATAATTGATTACAAAGATAACAAAAATGTATCATGTATGTCAAGAATAGTTTCGCCAAATGTATTATAATGCATTTTTTACTCAATTTTATTCTTATACTTTTATATAAGAAATATTTTGTTATTTAAATAATATTTGTTGCTTGTTATTTACCAATATGATTACTGAACGTTAAAATAAAATTTATTTGGTCTTATTTTTTAAATAAATGAAATAAAGTAATCCTTTTAAATTTTTGTGCCAAATGAATGTTTACAAAGGTAAGCTAACAGTATAACAAAAATCAATTTTAAGAAATTTTTACTCATATTCATAAATTACCAAAAATTTATATTTCATTAATTTCTTTGCCCGAATCTGATTTAAACACTTGCTGCTGGCTTATTATTTACTTCTTAATTTATACTCATTATTACTTTCATTAAAAATTTACAATTTAATGAACTAATATAGAATTATTATGTTTGTATGTTAAAATATTCTTTGTTTTTTAATTTGCTGCACAATTAATTAAAAAATAGTAATTAGTATAATAATATGTACAATGATGATGTCTTGCTTAAAGGGAATATCCCAAATTAACCTTATTCAAAAGCTAATCAAAACAAAATAAAATAGTCAATTAAAAACAAATTTTTTTTTTATAAAATGTGTATTATTAAATGTTCAAAATGAATACATCACTCAAATATTATTATCATAGTTTTATTAGCTTTGAGCTTTTACAGTTTTAGTCAATATCATATTTGGTAGTATACTTCTGTGTAAATATTAGCCATAGATTTCCTTATGTTTAAAAGGGTTAAAAAAAATTGTATAAATGCTCAATCTATCAACATTTGTTGATGCCTTTTTACCAATCTATGATTTATATATAAACTATATCAAAATCTCAGGAAATGTATACATATAATTTTTATAACTTTTCCTGAGATTTTGTTACCAAAAAAACATTTTTTGATTTAATGTAATTTATGCCATTTGAACAAGATAGCATCAATATCAAAAATACATTTTTAAATAAATCTGTTGTTATAATTGTATTTCCTTCATTGGCAAATCATATAGTTTGTAAATGTTTTGGAAATTAATACTAGTCACTTCTTAACAGTGCTTAAATTAGTGACATGGGTTCCATAGTTTTAAATGAACTCATACCATATGCTAGAAAAGTAGTTGAATGATGGGTGCGGGTAGTAATGGAATAAACATTCAACAAATATATTTATACTGGGTACATTATTTTATACAGTATATTTCTAACCATTTAAGACTGTTGCATATCTACCAGTAATAAGATTATGATGTGAATGTTAATAGCGTAAAATATTTTATTGAACTAGTCAGACCATTTATTGTCGATATATTGCTCCTCTTATTTGTTAAGACTCATACACGCTTTTATTTGGTCAGTCTGCCAAGATACCTGATTAAATCAGACATTGCATACACACTAGGTGGTACTTAATTTTAATATGAAATTTTTATCAGTCTTACCCCTAAATCAATTCATATAAATATAAAAAAAAATGTACAAAATTTGGAGTTGATTGGTTTAGTTTAACCCGTGCCTCCCAGTTAATAAAATTGAACACTTTTTTGCCAAATTAACTATGTTTTATTTTAAATTTATATTTCATTACAATTTATTCATATAAAAATATGTATAGATCATTAGTAGAAAATTTAATAAACAACATTTTTTATTCTACATAGTTTTTTGATAAATGTATTTTTTTTTTTAATTAATTGACAATGAAATATAAATAAATTTTACCTAAAAAAAATTTATTTCAAAATCATTATTGTATAATTTAAAAACTAACTATTTACCAGTGTAACTATAACTTAATTATAAACTAGTATTAAATATAGTAAATACTAGTTAAAAAATTGAATTAAAAATAAAAAGTAAATTTTAAACTATTTAAAAATTAGAATGATTTTAAAATCATTGATTTTAAACAGTTTTGGATATTTAGGACGATATCTTCTACAATTTGTAGCACAAACTGCTTTTGAACTTTATTTTTTGTTAAAATTGTATTGAACTTCTCCATAAACTTAACTCCTTTTTTGGCTGTGTCATTAGTAACACAAAGTGTCTTAACAATTTCAAGACCTTTTTGAAATTCTTCGTTTTTTATTCCATACTTGATATTCCAAATCGTAAAAAAAAAAGGATGTAGATTTGACATAAATAAAATCAAATATTTCTTTTGATTGTTTGATTTTATAGTTTCAACTGTTAAATTAGTATCATTTAGTAAAAATGCCAGTGTCAATGTTTTGGGAGCTAAGTATCACAAATGTTCACATAGTTTTTTTAAAGTTGACTGAGACATATCTTGATCTATATTTTAGTAGTCAATAAAACTTTTCAAAAAAGTAAGGTCTTGAGAAGGAGCTAATGAAGCAATAAGACCACCAAACCATTTTTTAATATATAATAGAATGAGAAATATATAAATATTGCACAATGAATTTTCTTCACTTTTTGATAGTTTAAATTGAACACAAAATATACAAATTTTTAGTGAATATATAGCTTTAGACATTTAATGAGCATGATGCATTGCTTGAGGATATTTAAAATATATGCCACGAGTAGGAGTACCACCAAAATATACAACAGTTAATTCCAGCAATTTTGTATAATTATATCTGTTATGAGTTTTATTTAATTGATCCATATAAAAGACTAACATATAATTTTATAAATAATTTAATTTTCACTGACTATTATATCATCTAGGCCAGTTTTAAAATTATTAATATTAACTTTTGGCCAAAATTGTTGAAAACGTTTAAAAATTTGAACTTCTGGACCAGACGAAATGATAGAATTTGTATAAAATGCAGCTTTAAGTATGATTTCATAAATATGATACTTACAGGGAAAATAAATAAGATCACATTCTGATAGATGTTCAAAAATTATACACGCCTCTTTTAGATGTTTTTTTAGACTGTTTTATGTATTACTTTAGTAAGTATAATAACATTGACAATAGCATACTAATCATTTGTGACATTAAATAGTAAGAAAGTTATACATTTATGTTATCGCATTGAAGGTATTGTTTCTTTACAGAATACCACTCATGATTATTGTTTATGTTTAAGTATAATCCTAAAATTTCATATTATAGAACAACTAATTAGTAAGTAAAACTTAGAATGAAAATTTTGTTAAATATTTATTGTTTTGGTGTTACATAACAATGATTTTTAGTGTTTTTTAACCAATTATTGTAGATAATTTTACAATTATTAAATAAATACATAAAGTAATAGATATAGTAGGTTAAAATATTTATTACAGCCTTTGATCATATCCTTATAAATATTTTTAATGAAATATTGGTTAAGTACTTATCAAAAAATAAAATTTCATTTGATAAAAGCACGATTCATAACTTTCAGGGCTGGAGGCACAGGTTAAACTTAATTAATTAATCTAATTTTATACATACTGTTTATATACCTATTGCAACAACTTAAGAGGGAAAGACTGAAAAAAACCTATATGTTGGAGAACCACTTATAGACACAATACGACAGCAAACCAGTTTGATCAGTTGATACTCGGAGATAACAGGTGACATATCAAGACATCAGATAGTATATAGGGATTTTTAGGAAAGTTATTCATAAATATTGGCTAAAACATTAATTACATTTTAAAAACTTTAAAATTTTTGATTACTCTTTTTTTTTTTTGTCAGTATTTTGGCAAATAGTTATACTGCAGAAAATTTTTAGGAGTAGGTAGGTAAAATTTTATTCTGCTCCAATAGAAAAATCTAATTGCCATTTCACTAGCTTAAATTATTTGGATAAGTAGATAAAGCTCACCCACTATTTTTTATTTTTTGTTTGAATTTCCTTCATATATCCAATAATTTTTTTTTAAACCTAAGCAGAGCTTCTCTACTTAATTTTTTCAATTTAAGTACTGCTTTTTAACCATAAAATTGTCAATTAAATTGATTAGTCATTAGAAATTTCACTATATTAATCAAATTAAATTAAAAATAATCACTTTATAGATTATGCAAAAGAGTGTCCTGATTGCAATACAATTTTTTATTCAGCTACATCTTTGTTGATGCACTTTTTTAGTCATATAAATAATGATAATCTGAAGAGTACTATTATAGAAAATAATGCTAAAAGTGAAGAAAAAAATAGTAACCGACCTTTAAATTTAAGTAAAAATGATTCTGATTTTTCTTGGAAATATTGTTTAACCACCTATGGTAAAGACACAATAAATGTACTGAATTCACCTAAAGTTAGTAAAACAAAAATTGAAAAAGTTAAAAACTATGAGTGCCAATTATGTGAAAAAAAATTTGGATGGTCTACTGATTTGAAAAGACACATACTAACTCATACAGGTATTTTACCATAAAATTTAATCAATGATATGAATAATTTTAATTATTTCTATCATTTTTAGGAGAAAAACCATATAAATGCAATTCTTGTCAATCAGCATTTACTAGAAACTTTTTACTTCAAAAACATTGTACTCGAGTTCATAAATCAATTTCAACAGAAGAATCTAGAAAACTGGATTATCACGTTTGTGCTAAAGTTGCTGAAATTAAAATGAAAATGGATGAATTAGACAAAAAAAAATGTAAAGAAAACATTTGAGTAAGTTAATGATAAATCAATAAAAATTTGAATTTTTAGATCTCAATTAATATTAGTTTAGGTATCTATCTAAAATTAAAGGTATAGAAATGTATTTTTGAGTAATAAATTTGTTTTATAGAATTTTCTAGGGTTAACATATATTTTGTTATTTTTAATATTAATATTAACTCGAGGATAGTTTAATGTAGTTTATTTTAATAAATAAATAAAAAAACCAATGTATTAAGGTATGTGACATTTTATTTATGACTATTACTTGTATTCGTATATATTTAATGTATTTTTTATTGGATTTAAATTAAATAATTTATTTAATAATAAATAAAAAAAGTTTAACATGAATAAGTAAATTTAGAAATATTATAATATAAATATATTTAAAAAAAAATTACCTATTTGTAACTGTTTTAGTAAATCTTTAAAAATTAATTATAATAACATTTTCTAAAAAAATTATGACCTATTACTTTATTATTAAAAATATATTGATCATATTTTAACAAGGAAAATAATTAAAGACTCGGATATGTTTGAAAACATTCATAATAATGTATCAATACGTAAAATGTTTCATTAACACTTTCATGACTATCAATCATAATTTTAAAATAATACATAGTATTTTAACTCAAACCACCTTCAATATAATTTACTTTAAATTATGAATATTACAAACACTTTTGTTTGTAGAATGACTAGTTTGAAGACATATTGTTTATTATATAGATTGAACTAGATTTAACTGACATCTCTTATTATTTTTAATTCGCTTTATATTTTATACTATTAATTTCTTAGTTTTTTTCATGATAAAAAATTAAACAAAATATACTTAGAAATTAATCCAAATATGCAAAAATCTTTAAAAATGTGAAATGCTAAATAAATAAAAAAGATATCAGTTAAATAAAATTCATATGATGTGTATTAATTTTTGTATTAATGAAAATTCACATAATTTTGTGAATATTTTTTTTGCACTAATATCTTATCAAATTTAAATCTCCTTTTTCTTCTCTTAAGTAACTACTTAAAAATAATTTTACTTCTCAGAACTTTTTTTGCAATTATTAAATTTATAACTTAATATTTATAAAATTCATTAAATCATGTGAAATTGTAATTTTTAATTTTATAAAATATATCTCTTTATAGAAAATTTTATTAGTTATAAATAATTAATGTATTAATTATTTATCCTTGATTAATAAGTAATCATAGAAGTTTTTTAGAATTAGTGTCTATGTGACATATTAATTTAGAGTAATTAAGCTCGAAAATTGTTATCCAAGATGTATAAATATGTGAATTTTTAGTTTTATTTTAAAGTTAATGAGACACAACCAATAATTTTTAATTATTAAAGAAATAATGTATACATATTTATACAAATAATGATCTCATATATTTTTTCATTATTATTATTTATTTTTATTTTTGATATGTTTAACGTATATGTATAAAGTGAAATTTAGTTTGTTTTATTTTGTAATTTTTTGCTGTGCAATATTAATATAATGTATGACAATAAATGATAATGTAATAATGACAATAATATACTTAAATAAACTTTTATTAAAAAATCAAAATTACAAGTTATTTAAAGTATAAAATTATTACTTAAAAAAAAAATAATTGAATAAAGTATAAATAACTATAATTTTTAGGTACATTAGCATTTGGCATTAAAGGATATGCTAGTATACATTAACAATTACTCATAAAATTAACAGTTAAATATAATAATTACAGTTTTGTTGATGTATCAATTAATATGACATATTGACTTCCCAAAGTTTTAAATTATTGTCCATAACTTCATGGAACCAAGCTTTTTTTTTAACATCCTTAAATGCTGGAGATAAAGTCTTCAGACTTAACTTTAGGAGAGCTTCATTGCCTAACAATCCATTCAGTTCACTTAGTAGTTTAGTATCACCATGTAGTTTAAGTAAAGATGCAAATGTAAAGAAATAAAACTTGACTCTTAGTCTTTGAAGAGCCCAATTTTCAACAGTTTCATTTCCACTAGCTGATAAAATTTTCCCAACATGTTCAGCATACCAAGGCGAAAAGTACCCTGTCAATTCATGATTAGTGATCTGAGAAACTCCTTTTGATTTTAAACGATCTTTTATTATCTTATAGGTATTAGGCACATAGACAAATACCTAGATTTAAAAATGTGTTTTAAGGAGTTATTATTATACTTGTGAGTTAGTAACTAGAATAATAATAATAATAGAATAATAAAAAAGATGAATTTACATCGGGGTCTCAGGTCGATCCCAGGGTACCAACGTTTCTCATTGGTGGTATTTGGTCTCTGGTACAAGCCAGCCATAATACCTGGCCCATCCATCATTGCCTTAGCCATGAATCATTTTTGACTCCCTAAATTGTGAAAGATGGCCACTACCCTCTATAAAATGTTAAGTTCGGGAAATAGACAGATGTAAAACTCATCATTTTTTTCCTCTTATTTAATTATCTCTTTTCATATCATCAATAAAAACATATCATTATTTCTTTAGTAATATTTTTCCATAAAAAAATCTTAATCTAAAGTGTTAAATTATTTAAAACTATAGCATTAACATACTTGATATAGTGAATTCCCTGTAACATAGGATGTCACATAATGAGATCCAAAACTTTTGACAAAGTCTATAACTGACATGCTATCACCAACATTAACTGACGCAGCTTGTTTTGCTACAGGTTCATGGAGATCACTATTCTCCATATCTATTGGAAGAGTGGCTATTTCTCTGTGTCTAGCTACTCTAACTAGTACGTAACTATAATCACCAGTTACATAAGTCATTTCCAAACCTTCAAATAAAAAAGAATTATTCACTTAATGTTAATCGAGTACATAATACTTCTACTGTTTATTAAGTATAAAATAGATCAAAATAGAATAAATTATTATCTGCGAACGTAATAGGCATGGGGGCTGTGGACCACTTATGGTTCCATAGACACAAGCTAGAAATATGGAAAGGGTAGTAGAAAGGACATTTTTACCAACTGAATAATTTTTGAATATTGTGTAACCTTTTTTATAATTTTCTTATAGGTAATATTGGACTTAAAACCTACATAAAAAATGTTTTCAAGTTACTTTCATGTTAATATCATTATTAACATATTAACTTATTTTACAAAATAAAACTAACACCATTAGTGTTTCCAACAACATTTGGAAAAGAGTAGTATTATAATATAAAAAGTTCCTTTAGTATATCTTTAATAGTCGGTATTTTATAATTATTAAAATGACTTTATTTAAAAAAAACATAGTTTTAAAACTCTATGCTACCAAAAGAGATCTTAATATAGCGTGTTGTGGGGTATAACTAACACTCCTATATCCTATAATAAATGAGTCATTTATTAATAATTTTTGCTAACTATACATTTAAAATGACTTTTTTTTTAAAATGATTTTTGGCGAAAATTCAATTTAATTGTTCATTTTATTATAAAAGTAAAAAAATGTATATACACAAATAAAGTTGGCGGTTATTTCTCCAGCTTTGGAAAAATATGTTGGACCTCTTTTTTTTATACTGTAAAAACGATTTAACTATAGGAATATTACGGAGGATTCAATTTCCCAAGTGTAGGAATCAGCTCCCTTAAATTCATATTAAATTATATGTATTGTAATGTAAAAATATTTTTTTAAAAGGGAGGAAATTAAAACTTAAAATATTACTGCTTTATTCGCTAATAATTTAGATCATTATATTTCATCATAATCCTTGATAAATTTTTAAATTTATATTAATAGCTTGATTATATTTAGTACTAAAAACTCAACATTTAAAGAAAATTCTAAATCATGTAAATTAATATTTTACCATTAATTAATTATTCATCATAACTCATACGTATGTATCATTTGAACCATAACAGGAACATTAATATTAACAGTATTATACTACTTAAATGTATAATATTAAAAATAAATTGAGAATACTACTTTATTTATACATAATACATAACAATACTAAATAATAGCGAAAAAAATTTACACGAAATATTTAAAAAGACTTGAAATAACTTCCAGGTTCTGAGTAATAGTAATAATTTAATAACTCAACATTTTATTTAAATTTTAAATTAAAAATTGTACAAAAATTTGAGAGTGCATAACTGATCGGGCTACTAGATAGTAATGTTTGAGGTATAAAATAAATTTTTTTTTGTCCTAAAATATTTAAATTAACAAACAAAATTTGGAGGATTAATTGTTGGGAAAGGGGGATAGCCCCACTAGACGTGTTTATAGCTGGTATAACATATGCATGTATAGTAAATTTGCTTATTTATCAAAGCAAAAATAATTTTGCTGAGTTCTGTTAATTAAACTTATATTAAATTTCAATGGTTGAATAATAATAAATATTGTGTGAGATTTAACTAAAGAAATTTTATTTTTAATTTTATTAAAACATATCAATATAATTATTAAAAAAATAAAAAAAAAAGCAAATTTAAGTTCTTTTTTCAGATAAGAGAATATAATAATTATCCTTAATTAACTCTTATTAATAGAAAAATACGCTAATCATAAAGATATCTTCGTAAAATTATTTTTAATTTTACATAGAGCCTTCAAAATATATTTCAAATAACTAAGTGGCCAATAAATCATACCTAGTTAGAGTATAAAATTGTTTTATTATAATTATTATTGAGTAAAATCCTTTCTATATCTTTAATATACGAGGTGTGTAACAAAAGCAAAAAAACAGCATAGAAACCACGCATAAAATAAAAATATACTTCTTACATCTTTGTGGAATTTTGAACTGTATAATTATTTGTCCAATGTCATAAATCTTCTAGTGCAAGTATTTCTTTCTTACTTTTGGTTATTTATGATAATACATAAATTTAAAAAGATAAATAAATAATCATAAGGCCTTATGATTATAGTATTGATTCTAATGAGTTATTTGACCCCTTCCATTCTATTTGTCTTTTAGTTATATATACTACTTATAATGGTTATTAAATTTAAGGTCTTAATGAACTTAATGATAGCATTTAATAGCTTTATTTATAACTATTATCATTATCCTCATTAAAAATAAAAATATTAAACAGTTAAGATTTCTGCTCGTTTAGATTTATACTTCCACTTAGAATGAGATGAGCCACTGTCTAATTTTTTGAATAGTGCAGATGTTATGTAATATTTTTCATATTCTTCGAGCGAGACAAGTACTGACTTTAAGGCGTAGAAACAAAACCCCCACGGGTTGCTGTCACAAAAAAATTAGTTCACCTAGTAGTTTAGGTATATTTGCTATAAATACATAAAAAAACGTGACAGTCATGTTTAAAAGAGTTACTATAACAAAATATATAGCTATTTCAATCGTATATTATATGGTTGGTTAGTATCCAACAAAGTTTTTAAGGATTTTACCACAGTACTTACACAAAAAACCTTATTTAATCACAAAATGTAGATTTGAACAATAATTTTGAGTAATTGAATATCTATTGAAATGATATAATCACTTAATCCTAAAAATTTGGTTTTGAATTTTAGGTATTGGATTCCGTAACATTTTTTTCGGCTACAGTTTTCAGAACATACTTATCTCACATGATAAATATTCTTTATCTTGCATGATATTCGCTATGCAACATCCAAAAATTAATGCTAAGATTGTAAAAATAGTAAAGACCACGAATTATTAACTTTATTATGATACGAGATTATTAAGATTTAATTTTTCTAACAAATAATTTTTTCTATAGCATATCAAGACAGAGGTTTTTACGAAAACACCATTGACTAAAATTTTGATAAATCATTTTAATTTTAAATAATATTAGCTATTAGTGATCAATTTTTATTATACTTTAATTTTTACTAATTTATTTACTTAAAACTATTTTAATTAACAGGAAAACGTAAAATCTTATATTTGTGCTCAGTATTACATGTTTTCGTTCACTCCTTGCTAAATAAATAGGCAGAAATATTTCATATTTAAATTATAATGCGTTTTAATATGTCTTTTTACTTTGCGTTTACTAAATACAAGCAGTATAAATTTTAAATATTTATCAATTATTTATACTTACTTACCTAAATTTCTAGCTAACGTTGTTTTTGACCAACTTCCCGTAAATGCTAGCCAAGGTTTGTCTAATCTTTCCACTGAAAAATCTCGAAAATAAGCTTGCATTAACTGTTTGACATTATCACAAAATTCCATGTGAAAATCTCCTTGGAATACTTGACCACCGTTTATACTTCTTTTAATGCTGTAAAAATAAATATCAGTGAAAGTAAAATAAGGGTAACTAAAGACTTTGAATAAATAAAAAAATTATGTCATTTATAATTTTTAGTTACCTTTGTTTTCCTGCTAAATTTGAAAATACATCTACTGTTGGTTCTCTGAATATCCACGTATGATCTGTGTCGTTCCTTGGGACTACTCTCATACTTATGCTGAAGTACCCATAACGATTGAAAACGTTAATTGCATTACCTACTTTAATATCCGCATGTACCTTGTGATGAATTCGTAAAGCGTAGAGTAACAATACAACCAACGCCTTGGCCCCATCGAGGCCCATGACTTGATCTAAGAAAATAAATTAAGATATGAACACATTAACTATAGATCAGTTAATTGGCATAATTTTCAAAAATACAAATATGAATCATGAACGACTTAAATTTCAATGAAAACTGATTGTTTTGTAACTAAACAATACAAAGTGGGGTTTATGCATTTTTTAGATTAGTGTTGATTGAAACCTGACAGTGATTAAAATCACTGTCATAATACTACGACTCAATGCGTATTAAAAAAAAAAAAAATTATCATATATACCAAAAATTACATGTTCTTTGATTTTAATGTCTGATTACTTATAGAATACAAGATAAAAGGTAAATCATCAGAACGTTTTTCTTTTTTTAATAATATATTACATTAAACAAGCATTTGTTTAATCATTTTTGACGTATCATTGAGCAAAATCAGTCTAGCAGGAGCGGGCGTATACGGACAAAAAAAAAAAAAAAATTATGTAAAACCAATAACTTTTCTGCTACACATTAATGCTAAAAATGAATTCGTGTAAATTTTTTTATAAAAATAGCTTAAAATTTTACGAATTTCCAGTCCGGTATATAAAAGATGGGTGGGTGCACATTATTTTTATTTGATGGTCAAATAAAAATAAAAGATTCTTGCATCCACCAACGAAAGTATTAACAAATTAGTGACTATACAAACGTTGTTCATCGAGAGGTCATATAAACACGTTTTAACATTATTAAAAAAACAAGGTTTTTATAAATCCCAAGGAAAGGTAGTAGAAAATTATTCTTAAATCTTAAAAAAACCTAACTTGTAATAAAATACATAAAAAAAACGTATAATATATTAGTGTAAAAAAATATAGAGCTTAAAATTAAAAAAAAACTAATATTCTTAACAAAAGATTTAAATAATATTTTTAAAACTCGACTTTTGTAGTAATAAATTTCAGCTTAGAATGTAAATTATTTTCAAACTATTATTTATAGTACAAGAGAAGATAATGCAAATAGATGTCCAAGAAGTTTTTAACTCAACAATATTAATTAGAGTTTTGAAAAATATTTTTTGTTAATATACTCTCTTGATAAAACTGTACATTATAATGCTATTATAACTAATATTTAGATTTTCATATCAAAAATCAAGAAATAGTCTTATATTTGTCTGATTTTCACGAACACTTAAATTATTTCTGAATGCCAAGGTCTTCATTATACTTCCGCATAGGTATAATAATTAACCATGTCGACATAATGTAATCTAAAAAAAATTCGTTTTCAGTAGTTATGTTCATACCACGTTTATTTCAATCACATGGTGTATCTAACTAAAAGATAAAAATAAGACTGACACATGATTCTANCTATTATTTATAGTACAAGAGAAGATAATGCAAATAGATATCCAAGAAGTTTTTAACTCAACAATATTAACTAGAGTTTTGAAAAATATTTTTTGTTAATATACTCTCTTGATAAAACTGTACATTATAATGCTATTATAACTAATATTTAGATTTTCATATCAAAAATCAAGAAATAGTCTTATATTTGTCTGATTTTCACGAACACTTAAATTATTTCTGAATGCCAAGGTCTTCATTATACTTCCGCATAGGTATAATAATTAACCATGTCGACATAATGTAATCTAAAAAAAATTCGTTTTCAATAGTTATGTTCATACCACGTTTATTTCAATCACATGGTGTATCTAACTAAAAGATAAAAATATGACTGACACATGATTCTATTTTTTTAATTTATTTAGACAAGATTGTCTTTTAACAGATTAACTACTGAGATTAAAATACCATTTCTTAAATAAATCCATTAAAATAATAATAAAATTTATAATACTAGAAAAATAACTAAAGAAGTTTAACCCAAACAAGAAACTCAATCAATTTAAAACAAATTCAATTCATTAGAATTTCAAAGCACCGTGAAGACAGAAGAAATATTAATTAAGAATAGTGATAGGATTAAACATTTCTTTTTTTTTTTTGTTAAACGTTAAAATATATTATAACGTTATCTTATAAGTTTAACGTTATTGAAGTAACAGTGACTACTCTATTCTTATATAGAATTTTTTTATAATATAAAGCTTAAAAAGAATTTATTTGGTTTTAACAGGAGTTATTTTACAATATATGTAGTATTATGTTTAACGACATTGTTCATATCATATCACATATTTTAGGTTATTGCTTTTTATTTTTTAATTACTTTTTAAAAAAATTTGCGTTTTAAACGATATATTTATAACGTCTTCTTGTCCTGGTTAGGAGTCATGTTAGCCAAAAAGGGACAGATAAAACCGTGATTGCAATATCNGAAGAAATATTAATTAAGAATAGGGATAGGATTAAACAATTTTTTTTTTTTTTTTGTTAAACGTTAAAATATATTATAACGTTATCTTATAAGTTTAACGTTTTGAAGTAACAGTGACTACTCTATTCTTATATAAAATTTTTTTTTAATACAAAGCTTAAAAAGAATTTATTTGGTTTTAACAGGAGTTATTTTATGATATATGTAGTATTATGTTTAACGACATTGTTCATTTCATATCACATATTTTAGGTTATTACTTTTTATTTTTTAATTACTTTTTAAAAAAATTTGCGTTTTAAACGATATATTTATGACGTCTTCTTGTCCTGGTTAGGAGTCATGTTAGCCAAAAAGGGACAGATAAAACCGTGATTGCAATATAATCTTGTTTCCCTGTATCAAATACACAAAAAACAATATTAAGAAAAAAAATTTGAATCTGAATTCATCAATATCGATTCTTAACATTTATAATTTAAAAAATATACATTTTTCTATTTTTGCCACGTGTGTTCATTAGGAAAGAGCAAGGGAGGAGCAGGTCCCCTTAGAAAATTATTATAAATATTTAAAGGTAATAAATCATCAATAATTTCACTTCTTTGAAAAATACCCACCTACGTTTGTTTTACCTACGAGTGTATTTTTAATTTACTAATTTTTCTTAAGGATATTTATTAAAATTGATTAGACCATGTAATATTTTTTGATCTGAATAAAATACTGTATGGTTTTTTAATAATTTCAGTAGCAAATTTTCGGTAACATTAACATAATTATATACAGTAATCAATAATTATCAATACAGTTTTAAACTTACAAATAAAAATGCACATTATTTAACGCATTATANAATATACATTTTTCTATTTTTGCCACGTGTGTTCATTAGGAAAGAGCAAGGGAGGAGCAGGTCCCCTTAGAAAATTATTATAATTATATAAATATTTAAAGGTAATAAATCATCAATAATTTCACTTCTTTGAAAAATGTATTTTTAATTTCCTAATTTTTCTTAAGGATATTTATTAAAATTGATTAGACCATGTAATATTTTTTGATCTGAATAAAATACTGTATGGTTTTTTAATAATTTCAGTAGTAAATTTTCCGTAACATTAACATAATTATACACAGTAATCAATAATTATCAATACAGTTTTAAACTTACAAATAAAAATGCACATTATTTAACGCATTATGGGCATTGCGGAGCTATTGAAGTAATAACCCACAGGATTTTCCCACAACGTGTTCATTGATACGAAAGAAAATCATTTGGAATTGTAGTACAAAATAAAAACAATTAAATACACAACGGAATTTTATTCAGTCATAATACGATGACGTAACTTTTAAATAGCAATGATACGGATGGATAATTTTTGTTCTGGAATCATTTGTACGCGCCCAACACGATAGGTACGCTCATTAAAATTCCAAAAATTAAGTTCAATAAAAATAAAGTATTAGACAATCTTCTAGCTAGTTAATTTATCTTAGTCTAAACTTTTTAACGCTGTTTTATTAAATTACGCAAAATCTAAATAATTTGCTTAAACATTAGATTAGAGAATGAGATTACAGTAAACAATGTAGCAATAAATTAAACAACCGTTTTGACAAAGAAAATGTTAAACCAAAGATTAGTGATTTCAAAATGAGTCGTCTTTGTGGTGTTATTGTAACACCCAGAAAACAAACGGATTCGTTATTTGAAAGGTACAAATAGTAGTAACTTATTAACAAACCCTTTACAGATACAGTGTTAAGTACTTATAATGTTCATTTTAAAACTATCAACGACTAACTTGACTCTTCAAGGATTTGAGAACCATTAACAATGAAAACATTAAGTAAATGGGTAAACAAAATAAAATACACTTATACTTTAAACTTAGATGTATGCCATAATCCAACAGCTACTACATGAGGTCCAACAAAACTATTAATGAAAAATATACTTAAATTTCTTAATTTATTTCTCAAATATATGTATTTATGATAGAACTAAAGCTACTATAAATACATATGTTTGATAGGACACATGTTATAATAATCTAATTAAATAAAGTATAGACGGAATATTAAGATGTATTCACAAGTTTACAAATTGCTACAATTGTAATTTTATAACCATCAAGGTATGCATATTTTACATAATTTTTTTTTAATCCAATTGAAATACAACGCATTGTTTCGCTGTGTATGTAGTTCAACAATCACGACAAATTTACTTAACCATGGAAAGCATCATGTGTATCGTACTCTTGAATGGTATCGGTTAATAATCCAACATTCCAAGGTATACAGTTAAAAAATGATTTTTAGATTTAATATTTTAATAAAATATTTGAACAAACTACAAAATAATTACTTTCAACTATGTACTTGTTTAATGTGTCCTATCACCATTGAAATTTCTATATTTATTATTATAAATTTGTATACTTATAAAATTATTTTATTCAATGGATATGATTTCTTTCAACAATGAACACGTCGTGGTACGTGTTCACTGTTGAAGAAGATATCATTTAGGAGTTGGGAGTGTTAATTTATTAAAACCTTTTAAAATTTACAAAATGTTAATATTATAAAATAATTTACATGAAAAAAGTTGGGTGTATTATAATAAGAAAAATAATGAAAATTTGTAAATAAACGTTAATTAAGTAACTATATTATTTA